ATACTGTAGTTATAATCAGGAACCCCAAAGCCCCTAAGGAATAGATATGGTAATGCTTAAAGCCTCTATATATGCAACCCTGAATTGTGTGGGCCAAAGGTCGGCGCAAGCTCCAGTCTTTGCGCAGTGGTACAACAGCGCAGCGTGCGCAGATCCGGGCTTTACAGCCCTACAAGCGCCCGGAATCCCCAATAATTGGGGACATGACGTGAGGTTGGCCTTTGGCGCCTCTGCAAAAAATATTCGTAAATAAGATGCTCTTCAGCCCAATCAGAGAGAAGATAAAAAATAAAAACATCCCAAAGGCCTTCCCAGAGGTTTAGGGTTTAGGGACGTTAGGCCCAGAGGGTTCTTAGGTACTTGGGCCCTGAGGGCCGAAAGGCCAAGTAGCCAGGACGGCCGCACCGAAAGCCCCGGAGCCAAGGAGTCGGATCTCTTCCTCGAAGGCATTTTTGACGGACTTTTCGGGCTTAATTAGGGGTTGAGGGCGTTTAGGGCTTCTGGGGTTTAGGGGCTGCAAGAACTCAGCGTTTAGCAGGTTTTACTTCAAGCTGTCGTGTGTCGATTCTCCCGCTCGCGCAAGGCGGGTAAAAATCACAACGGCGACATTTCACAGCAGAAATGCGAGAGAAAGGCCCATGTGACAACAGCCCCATGTACAAACAAAACCTCAGCCAGCTCCTCTGCTCGCAGGTCATCGCATGCACTGCTCGATTGCTAGCGATAGCAAACAGTTGAGCCGCGAGCCAACTTGACCCAACCAAAGAAGTACAACAAGACAGTAACCAACCCTTAATCGACCTCTTGAGCCTCGCCTCAGCAAGTCAACATGCAGGTGCAACCTGTCATGGATCACCTGCCAGCCATCAACTCCTCCTAAGGGGCTCTAATTGCCATTAGACAAACCTAAGTTCCGATGGACAACATGGCATGTGAAGCCGAAGTAACCCTAAACCCCAAACAACGCAGCAAACGCCACCCTCAGTACATGCAGTCCACCACCCACTTCCATCATCTGCCCTTGGCCCAAGCCCGAAGTGCCACTATGCCATCTGTAACTCCACAAGTTCGACTCTTGGGACAATATTTGAGGGTTTCGACTCACACACTCG